GATGAAAATATCATACTGAAATATGAAAATGTGAAAATATCATATTGCCTCTATATAAATTCATGGTATGCCCACATCTTGAATACTGCGTGCAGATCTGGTTGCCCGATCTAAAAAAAAAAAGATATATTGGATTTGGAAAAGGTACAGAGAAGGGTAACACAAATGATTAGAAGTAAAGAACAGCTTCCGTATGAGGAGAGATTAAAAGGACTTGACTTTTCAGCTCAGAAAAGAAATGACTTTGAGGGGAGGAATATGTTGAGGTCTATCAGATCATGAATGGTATAAAAAAAATTGAATAAGGAAATGTGATTTACTCCTTTATGTAACACAAGAAGGTCACCCAATTAAATTTATAGGCAACAGAAGAACAAACAAAAAACATTATTTCTCCACAGTCAATTTGTGGAATTCCTTGCCGGGGGGTGATGAGAAGACCAATATTGTAACAGGGTTCCAATAAGAACTAAATAAATTCAAAGAGGATATGTCCGTCAGTGGATATTAGCCACGATGGGCAGGGATGACGTCCCTAGCCTCTGTTTGCAAGAAGCTGGGAATGGGAGATATGGGATGGGTCGCTTGATTATTGCCTTTTTTTAATCATTCCTTCTGACGCGCCTGGCATTAGCCACTATTGGAAGGCACGATACTCGATTAGATGGACCATTGGTCTGACCCAGCATGGCCATTCTGATGTTCTTATATAAAACCTATATGTATCTGCCCCGTTGCAACCCACTAGACCCCACTCCAGTGAGAACCCAGGAGTCCTGACAGGAGAACCCTGCACGGATACAAAATTTGTATGCACATCCACACGTGCATGTGCAAAAACAAGTCACCGAGATCCACACTGACACCTGAAGATGCAGATACCCATGGAAATAAAACAGAGATCTGCGAATTTGAAGAGTTCTAGATATGAAATGTGTATCCGCATCCATGTCCGCAAAAATGAGCTGTGGATATCCACATCTACATGCGCGGATGCGGATAGCTGAGGATTTGCAGGGCGCTACTTACTGACAGGGTCTCTCTCTCTCTCTGCACTTAGTAACAAAGTCAGAATGCACATTAAAGAACACTGGTTAAGGTTAAAGTCTTAAGTGACTTGCCACAAGATGTCAGTATTAGAGCTAAGTGGATCTAATATTTAATTTTCTTTCTTACATAGGAAATAGATACGGTGCTCCTGTCAACTAATTGTCAAGTTTTCTGCCAAAAAAATAGAGGTTTCAAGTGCTGTAGTCGCCCCTGTAAAGATGTGATTGAGGGGAAGAGGGAGAATGACAGGATCAGATCCCCCCCGATTGGCTAGTACTGAGCATGCTCCATAACACTGCTGAAGCTACTGCCCTCCCTCTGCCCCACTTCCACTATTGTGGCATGCACAGGTTTCCCCACACACACGTCCCTGGCACTGGGACCTAGTAGTAGGCCCTCTGCCGCCATCCCATATTCCTATGGTGCCATATGGCAGGCTTTGACATTGCGCCATGCTCCCTGCCTGCAGTATACACTACTCACACAGCAACAATACAAGCTGCATTGGGCATTAACACAGTTTGGATCTAGTCAGCTCAGGGAGACATAGGCGGACACCAGAAAGAGCCACGTTTTGCTCTCAATTTGCACCTCCCTTTAGGAGACACAGGGGCACATCCCAGGTCAGAAATTGGAGCTAGATTATTTCATTAAACAGAAGGCAGCCCAATTCCTCCCTTTTTCATAGTTGTGCGGAAACCCAGCCTCTCTGATCCTGGTCGGAGTCTCTAGGCACCACCATAATACACATAATAATAAAAACAGCCTGGAAGAAAAGGGGG